GCTGAGGGAGCAAGCCTGTAGAAGCTTTGTAACAATGGAAATCCTTGACAAAGGACAGAAAGAAGGCCCACAGGGCTGGGGCTGCAAACCTGGGCAGCACTGAGGGGTAAGATTAGGTTGAAAAGGTAGGTAAGACAAAAGCACTGAAAAGTTTCAAGCTGGGGAGTGCGAGATGGCTCAGATTTACATTTTGAAAAAAAAACACTCTGGCTGCAGTATAGAGAATGGAATGGACTGTGACAACGACTTGAACTGTCAACTGGAGAGCCCATGTGGAGATAAGCAGTGATTACTGATATGATTATTCAGAGCAGTTTCTTATCTGTCTGTTTTAATTTTTGTACTAAATGAATATACACATACAAATAGTTCAAAACAGCAAACAGTACTACAATATAAGGTTAATTAAAAAAATAGCAGCCCTCAAAAAAAAAAAAAACAACCCAGCAGTATCTCAACCATCCCTCCTCAACCCCTTTGCTCCTGCCAAGGACCCCTTCTTCTGCTCTTAACTATTCATCTAGTATCCCCCTCCTTCTTGTTCTTGGGGAGTAGGGTCTAGTGCTGTGCTACATTCCTAGCCCTTCCCCTTGCTTTTTAAACACACTTTTAAAGTGCTATTTGCTTTTCAGTTTTATACACTGTTTATTTCCTATTAGGGAAGAAGAAATTTTCACACTATTGCTCCATGTTCCCCCCACTGTGTTCTTACTCTGCCAAGAAGGAACATTCAAAGCCATGACCAATACTTGCTTTTTAGTATTCCCATATAAGAAAAATACTGGTGTTCATTACCAGAAAAAAACCACTTTCATGTATATCTGTTATGGACATAGTTGAAGCAGTAAGGATTTTTATCCCTTTAATAGAGTAAAAACTACCCAAATTTTAAGTTTGCACAAGAACATTCAAGGAAATCACGTATGTCCCAGTTGAAAGACATAATAAAGTTATTTGTACTAGAAGCAAAAATAATTTTTATTATAAGACTAATGTCTTGGGATAAAACTGCTAGAAATGTTATCAAACAATGACTGTCCATAATATTTACAGATAGAGTAGCAAAGCAGGCCACTTCTACAAAGACTGAAAACAACTGGGGTGATTCCTACCTAGAACCTAAAAACATAAGTCAGATATTTTGACCCTCAGGTAAATCAGTTCCAAGGAAGGAAATAACTCAGAAATACAAAGATTTTGTATGAGAATATTCATGCAGAATTATTTATAATAATGGAAAAAATCTCAAAGCTCCAAAATAGAAAAATGGTAAATGATACCATATCTACAGAATACAATGATAGAAAATCATTAGGTTCATCATTTCAGAGGATATTTAATGCTGTGGGAAAATGTTCTTGACAAAAGAAGTTAAGGGAGGTCACCCTAATATAAAAATAAGCATGAGGGAAAAAAAAAGCATGAGCACATGTGTATAATATATATATATATATACACACATATACAAACATTAATGAGCATACATAAAATACTTATACATATGTAAGTTTAAATTCAAAGAAAAAGGATAAAGGGGGGGTATTAAAATGCAAATTCTCAGGTTCTAAGGGTCTATTCATTTAGATCCTGGAAACTGAGCCCAAGATTCTGTGACTGATACATTCCTGACTCCTAACACAGTTTGATTCAAAATTTATTAAAACTACATAAATGAGGCATGAGTGGTCCGTCTGGACTAGTCAAAACAACTTTTGAGGGCTGGGGATATAGCTCAGTGGCACAGTGCCTGCCTGGCAAGTGTGAGGTTGTGTGGTTGATTCCCAGTACCAAAAAAATTTTTTAAAAAAACTTTTGAAAATGGAAAGTATATATTTTTAAATCTAAAAAATAAGTAGTTATCTATGAATTCCTAAAATGTTTTAAGTCAGTTTAGGCCAAAGAAAGTGCTACACTAAGTTCAGACATAGAAATCGTTATCTCAATTAACTGTTCAGGTAAAAAACATAAGTATAATTTTATAAGTATAAGAAACAGCATTTCTCAATGTTCCAAGGTATTCCTTGGCAAAAAGAGGCTTCAGTGATCAAATAAGCTTGGGGCACATTACACATATACCTCCCCTTTAAGGTCATACAATCATAAGTAGATTACAGGTTCTGAGGGGAGTTTAACCTAAGCTTTCTTCTTCCTTCTAGCTCCCTGTTGTCTTACAATTCTCCTGTCATTAAAAACAAATTCCAGGCTGGAGGAGGGTCTGGAAAGAGTTCTCATCATAGACTGAAAACTACACTTGATCTAGCATCTCAGTTCCTTTCCTTGTCTCTGAGGGCTGATCATGGCTCAAATCAGCTACCAAACAATGTTTAAGAACAGCAAAACTGAATGCCAGGCTACAAGACTGGAACACCTGAAAGAAATTTTACTTGTCTGTTACTACCACTAGCCTGTTAGCTCAGAGCTGGAAACCTCTTGTCTATTCATTTTGTATACCCAACACAATAAATTCCAGCACTTCTTTAGTACTCAATGAAGGGGACGCAGCCAACCAAGTAATTAAAAAAATTCTGATGAGTAATGAAATGAATCAGGCAGGTAGGTATCCCTATAATGTGCACAATCAAAATATCAAGACTTCTTTCACTCAAAAAAATTTCTAAGCACTTACTCTACATAGGCATTTCTTGGGCTGGGGATATAGCTCAGTGGCACAGCGCCTGCTTCATAGGCATTTCTAGGAATGTAGAGGCACCAAGACACTAATAGTCTCTTCCTTTAAGAGCTCTAAGCAGGGCAGCTTCTAGTCCTAACCATTCTGTCTTGTACATTTTGAGAATATAGTAATTTCTAATTAATGCTTGTTTAGATTGAGTTTGGAAACCAAGATACACTTTAAGTTTGGTCAAATCCAGGCAATTTGGAGGCAAAGAGACTAGAGTCAGAATCTAGAATTATTGAGAACTTAAGTGAACAGACCTATCTTGGTCATCATTACTACCATGCAGTCTCTACAATCAGCCAGGAATCAAGAATTTTAAGTCATCATTACTACCATGCAGTCTCTACAATCAGCCAGGAATCAAGAATTTTAAGCAGAGAAACCTTAGACCCTAAAGGAATGTAAGAGTACACACCTTGACAATGTTTCTAAATGTGTCCTGCAAAGTTCCCTAGGCTTTTGTGATGTTAACACATAGGGCTGAGAAAGGGGTTCTGTAGAGTTGACAGGCCTCTGTACTGCAGGACTTTTCAATGCCTTTCGCAGTGTGCTGCATTCCTTATATACAGTGTCTTGTGTATTTTCCACAACAATCCTATGAAGTAGGTTTTACTCTTTTTTCCATTTTGGAGATAAGCAAGTTGAAGAAACTATGACAGCATACATAACCTGCCTGCTCCAGACCACACATGTACCACCATAAGATAGAGTGGGACTCTAAAAGCAGGGCTTTCTGGTACCAAACCCTGGTTTGTGATCATTCCAAGCAGTACTTTGATTAACATGTTGATGGGCATTAGCCCAGAGGAACACCTACTATATACTGTTTCCCAGACTGATTTGATTAGGGAGTCCTGACAGAATCACTAGTCTTCACTTGTTTTCCCTGGAACATATTTAGAGAAATACTGTGAAGGAAGAAGGAGGTAGCTCTGAAGGAAAAGCTACTCTAGAATTTCTCCATTCTTCCCTCTCTCCCTTCTCCCCCCTCCCCTTTTTCTCTCCCCACCCTGTGGTACTGGGGACTAAATATAGGGCCTTACCATTGAGCTACATCCCCAGCCTTTTTTTATTTTCAGACAAGCTCACTAAATTACTAAATTGCCCAGACCAGGTAATCCTCCTACCTCAGCCTCCCCAATGTTGGAATTAGAGGCACATGCCAACATGCTGGCAGAATGTTTATTAAAATTGTGCTCAAAGAATTATTAACAAGGACATGCAAATTAAAGCTTGGTTTAACAGGTGCCATTTTACCATTAGATTCATAAGTTTCACTTGATGAGTCATTCATTTTAAATAATATTTGATATGGAATTCCTGCATATTAGGACCTTTTATAGGATTTGACTTACACAGTAATTCAACCCATTATATCACTAGTTTTGGTAAAGCATATTCACATTGGGAGTATAAGTTTTAACTTGCTATGAAAAGGCCTGAAATTTGCATTTTGGGGTGAGATAATTCTTTTTTTTCTTTCTGGTAGTACTAGGGATTGAACCCAAGGTCTTATGCATGTTAGGCAAGAGTTCTATCACTGACATATATCCCTGTTGCCTTTTTATTTTTCACTGGGATAGGGGCTCACTTCACTACCCAAGTTGACTTCAATCCCCTACCTCAGCCTTCCTGAGTAGTTGGGACTATAGGTATGCACCACCATGCCCAGCTAGAGTGAGAGAACTCTTTATTGTGTAGGACTAACTCAACTGTAGGACATCTGGATTCCCTGACCCCTGCTGACTAAATACCAGTACCACCACACCACTCCTCAGTCCTTATGACAAGAATACATCCCCACAGTTTCTACATTCCTAAGGAATACCCAGATAAGAACCATAGAAAGAATACTAAGACAAACTCCTGGCCCAATCCTGTGTTCAGTATTCTAACAAAGCCACTGTCAAGCTATTTTCTCTGTCTTCTGTTAGTAACACAAATAGATTCAACACAAAATGCCAAAATACCATTTTTAGCCAAGAGGCCAAGTCCTGTATGCTTTATCAATAACAGCAATAAAGCTGGGCAGAACTAGGCCCAAGACTGCATGGAGTATTGGTTTGTATCTGGGGCAGTAGCCACAAAATGAGAAGTATATTTGAAAAACCTATCATTTTATCAAATTTGTACTTCAAGAAGGATGCTGGGTATTTTTTAATCTTTTTTTTTTTTTTTCTGTCTTTTTGAGATGGGGTCTCGTTCTACAGTTCAGGCTGGCCTTGAGCTCACTTTGTAGGCCAGGCTGTTTCAAACTTGCAATGATCCTCCTGCCTCAGCCTCTCAAGTGCTGGGATTACAGGCATATACCACCACGCCTGGCTTGTTTTTTAATCTTTAAAAAAGATTTATTATCAGAAAGTTTGCCTTCTTACTACTGAGTCAGTTCAGCAATGCAGCTCCATCCCTTCTAGGATTATTAGGGCCAAAATAATTTCAAACAAAAAACAGAAAACAAAAACCTAGACTGTAGGTTTGGCAACATATTCACAGACACATCAATATGTATGTAGGAACACTGGTTTCATTTCTTGATCGGAATGGCAATCACCATAAAATCTTCTGCTAGTGTCACTTCTTGGAAATCTAATACTGATTCTGCTTGCTTTTTCAGTTCTGCAATGCCATCTGCTTCTCCTTCCCTGGCCAAAGTAACTGGTTTGTACCTCTGACTGAAGTGTGTCAGAACCAGCCTCTTTGCACGGCACAACTTTGCAAATGTTGCTGCCATCTGTGGTGTGCTGTGGCCATGCTCCTTTGCTTTGTCCATCTGGGCATCGTCCAAGGTTGCCTCATGGATCAATAGGTCTGCATCAAAGCACAGCTTCATTCCTCCATCACCCACAACTCCAGAGCAGTCACCCAATACGCAGATTTTTCTTCCAACAATAGGCTTTTTTAAGACATCCTGGGGAGAAATTGTAATCCCATTTTCCAGAACAACAGAAATTCCATTTTTCAGCTTCCCATAGGCAGGACCTGGTGGAACACCTAATGATGAAGGCAGATAACATTATATCATGGATATGGAATTTATGACCTTTTAAAAGGGTATTTTAATAGTATAGCAAATAGCAAATGGGATAGGCATCCAATTCTTTTCATAATTGTTGTTTTACTATTTGTGGAAAACTAGAATATTTATACATTTTAAAAGTTCAGTGTTAGTTATTAACAATGTTTTTGTACTTAAAACACTTCCCATGTATGTCTGTCAGAGGACTTTTAAACTTCTAAATCCTGCTAAGGCCTTATTATAGTCAAGATAACAGCTTTGATTCTTTGCTGTGTGCATGGAAAGAACAGTTTTTAAAAGTGCTTTATTTAATAAGCACATTTTTGGGTAGAATAAAAGAGTATAATCAAACAATAACATAATCAGTGTCTAGTCAAGGTAGGTACCCACAAGTTAATTTAACAGAAAAATCATTAGAGAGGACTGTTTGGATCATCAAATCAGGAGCATTTCAGGCAATCGCACATGACCAATCTTCTTGGTAAATGGGGCAATTCCACACTAACCAACCTGGGCTTATATCTTACATTAATCTAGAGTAACACCTGATCATCACTCTGGACAACATTTAAACACAAGTATAATCACCAGTTCTAATTCAGATCCTGTTTAAAGTTTCCAAATATGATAGTATTTCCACAGGCTTTGAGATAATAAAATTGACTGTGGCCTAAGTCGCTTTTCCTCATTATCTAGCATCTTATTTTGGTAGGGGGAAGAGATTACATACATAAAGAAACAAACATAGAGAAAGGAAATGCCAAGGGGGGTGGTGATGCAGGGGGTGGAAAGGACCTGGCCTCTCTTTCAAAATAGGAGCTGAAAGCTGGGTGTGGTGGCGCACGCCTGTAATCCCAGCACTCGGGAGGTTGAGGCAGGAGGATCGTTTTGAGTTTGAGGCCATCCTGGGCAACAAAGTGAGTTCAAGGCCAGCCTGAACTGCATAGCGAGACCCTGTCTCAAAAAGACCAAACAAACAAACAAACAAAAAACTAAAAATAGGAGCTGAAAGGGGCCAGGAATATAGCTCAGTGGAATCCCGCCTGCCTGGCAAGCACAAGGTTCCAAGTTAAGATTCCCAGTACCATAAAAAAAAAAAATTAAAAAAAAAAAAAAACAAAAAATGGGTTTTAGGCTGGGAATATAGCTCAGCGGCATAAGCGTCTGCCTGGCAAGTGTGAGGTCATGAGTTCAACTCCTAGTACCAAAAAAAAAAAAAAAAAAAATAGGAGCTGAGGATCCTTCAGTGAACCCTAAGTCTTTGCATGCTTCCTTCCCACCACAATGAGCCCTAGTATACAAAACTGATTAAGGTGTAGTATGGGTTTTCTAATTTTTTTTTGATGGTACTAGAATTGAACTCAGAGCCTATATACTAAGGAATAGCCCTGGCCCTTTTAAATTATATATATATATTTTTTAATTTATATATATATAAAATTTATAGAGGCAGATATTTATTTTTAATTATATTATATATAGAGATAGATTGATTGACAGAGGGTCTTGCTAAACTGGGCTGGGCTCAAACTGGCAATCCAACGGCTTCAGCCTCCCAGAGTGCTGGGATTATAGGTATATAAAGAGGTACAGTGTTCTGAAAATCAGATTAAGTTAGTCAAGTTTGAGTGAATAGGCAAAGTGGATAGAGAAGGAACCCGTAAAAGTAGTTATCTGCAACTCTGAAGTTAAGAATCATTGGAAAAATTCTCAGGCCACAAATGTCACTGAAAATATACTTTAGCCAGGCATGATGATGCATGCCTGTAACTCCAACATGGGAAGGCTGAGACAAGAGCAATGGCTCGAGTTCAAGGGCAGCCTGGGCTATATAGTGAGTTCAAGGCTATCCTAGAATACAGGGTGAAAGCTTGTCTCAAAGCAAATAAATAAACAGAAAGAAAATACACTTCAAAAGGAAGATATGAGGGCTGGGAGTATAGCTCAGTGATACAGTAGTTGCCTAGCATATGCAAGACCCTGGGCTCAACCCCCAGCACCACAACAAAGAAACCATTCCCACCCAAACAACCTTACCAGCCAGACAGTATAAAGTGAAGATTCCACAGATTAAGAATGTGAATCCAGGAAGCTGAAGAGAGAAGGATTAAAAAAACACCACATATTTGGCTTTTGTTCTGAATAGCATCTTTTGGCCCCACAGATTTTCCTTAATAAGCAAACTCTGCGCAGAGTGGAGAAAATGTTATTTTTAGGCCTGAAATACAGGAAGGCAGGTTACTACGACACTTCTAAAGGCTAAGGAGCTCAATTTCTGAGAAGGAAACACACACACACACACACACACACACACACACACACACACACACACTTACCAAGGTCTTTTAGCTTCTGTGCATTGAGTTTACCTGGGCGTTTCTTTTCCACAACTGAAAACCCAAAGGAGGGAATTCGGTGAAAGAGGCGGAATGCTTTTACAACAAACTGTTCATCATCAACCAGAAGGTATGAGTTCTCCTCTGAGTCTAACAGGATAGTTCTTCCTTGTCCCTCTTTAGGAGGGCTGTCTGCTTTATCCACATGGGAAAATTCTCTTAGCTCCTCTGCGGGACACTGATCTGCTGTAGGCACCAGCTCATGGACCACATAAGGAAAGACCAACTCTGTATGAGAGAGCTCCATCGTTCGCCAGATAAAGTCCCGAAGCCCTACAGGGCCATAGATTTCAATAGGCTGTTTGGTGACAACGGAGCCGCTCTGTAGGCTGATTGTGCATAGGAGGCCAGGAAGGCCAAAGAAATGGTCTCCATGAAGATGTGTGATGAAGATCTTGGTAATTCTCCCTTTTGATTGAGACAAAGAAACATATTTGGAAATTTAAAAAATAAAAACTCAAAGCTATTTAAAGTAAGCCTAACATGCTAAAAGTATTAAGTTGAAGTTAACAGACACTCCTTTCTTTCCTACATGGTTCCATAAGCAAAAATGGCTTTATTTCTTGGACGGTTTTAAATGAGATTTTTTTTCATAAAACTTCTTAAAATTATATAGTTTTGTATATATTTTTTTTTTTTTTTGGTACCAGAAATTGAACTCAGGACCTTGCCATTGCCAGACAGATGCTTGTGCCACTGAGGTATATCCCCGGCCCTGCATTTTTCAAGGTGTTTTCCTACATATTCTCTCACTTATAAAAAAAAGAAAACCCACAGAAAATATAAAATTGTATCAAAATAATTCAGAGCTAGATGAGACTTGTGTCAAAAGCATCTGGCAGCTACACTGCCCCCTACTGCCTCCTCTGAGGATAGCAAACATGTTCTGTACTTGTACCAAAACAAAAGGTTTCACTGATTCCAGTGTCTGAACCCAGAACTGCCTTTTAAGGACTCTATAATGGACAGGGGTTAACCAACCAAGGCAGACCCTGGCTGTCCTGGTGAAGTAGTAGGGAAAGCAGAAAAGGGATGAGGGTGAGGAACAGAGAGGAATGGGAGAAGGAAGGCAACAAACACTGGAATGACTGGGGCCAGATCCCCTATCGTACTGTGTAAAGGCACTTGGGACCATCTCCTGCTTTTAATCTGAACTAACACAACAGCTTTTTCAGTGCTCACTGGCTTACGTTATAACTCGATTTAGCCAATGGTGAATTGAATTTACTGCTGGTATGTGGCACGATGCCACATCAGCATTTTCTGAGATGCACCACAGACATTTTGAAAGTAGCAACACAACTAACATATTTCCAGTATAACAGGCTTCTGGGCCTTGCTCAAGGTCCACCTATTTTAAACATTTGATACCATAAAAGTACAGGAGCAGTTTATTGATACCATAAAAGAACAGGAGCCATTTATTGCAATGTGATTCGTTCTATGACAGCAAATGTTCTCCAAGCAAGTCTGCCTAGAATGACTACACCCAGCTTAGGGACAGAGAACAATGGATTAGGCAGAGGATGATTTTAGATTTTCAGAATCCCCAGGAGGAGAAGATACTCTCACTCTAGAAGCTTCCGCAATATGCTCCCTTTTTAAAATTTTCTTTCTTCTTTTTTTGTGTGTGTCCTTATTTTTGCTGTTTTCTGACTTTGAAAATCCTTTAATTTTCCCCTTTCCCCCTGTCCAGGGTGCTAAGCCAGCTCCAAGTGTGAACTGAGACCTCTGCAGATAAAAAGATTACAAATGCCGCTGAGTTCAGATGGTATGTTGGTCTCAAAATTGGCAACATCAGCCTTTCTGGGCCCCTTCCTATCTACTCCAAAACAAAGCTAAAGCTGAACACCAAAACAGCCTGGGAACCCAAAGCAAGTGAGGCAAATTAAGTAAGGAGAAAATTGCTTCCCACAGTTATCACAGTTTCAAGAGAGACAAACATTTCATTTTTCAAGAAACTTGATTTCAGAGGGAGAAGTAATGGCAACCACAATTATCAAAGGTATGAGGAAGTTATCAAATGAAAAGAGAAAAATGCATGTATTCTCTGTCACACGAGAACAAGGAGTGATCGGGAAACTTCCCACAGAGGTGTGCAATGCTGAGCATCCTCTGAAAATGACAGCAAAGTATACTTTCTTCCACAGGAAAAGGTCTACAATACACTGTACACATATATGGTTCCAGTGAAAAAAGCAGGTTATGCCAGTATAGTGTGATTCCACTTATGCATAACTACACATACATACACACCACACACACAAATACAGCCATACCATTACCACATCTACATGTACAGAAAGTTTACCTATAGGAAGAGAACTTGGGGGTTCTTATTTATACTTTTCTGTTTTGTTCTAACCTCCACAATAAGCATTATAATCATTTTACAATCATTTAAATGATTTAGGCAAATCTCTCTTGCTCTTTTTTTCATGCAGCAATCAAACTCAGGGTTTCACACATGCTCTAAACATACATTCCAGCATTAAGCTACACCTCCAGCCCCACATAAAAATTATTACAATCATATTAAAATCATGCTTTTACAATACTTTTAACAATTGTTTTATAATCATTTTGCTTTTGCAGTCTGTTTTGGGTGCTGGGGACTGAACCGAGACCTTGCACACATTAAGCACATGCCCTACTAGTTAGTGCCCCCTCCTCTGTGCTCCAAAAGTACTTTAAAAATACCCCATTGTTCTATTTAGCATATTACATGCTTCAGGATTGTCTGCATGTCAGTTTCCATCACTAGACCAAGACGAGAACAAGGAGTGGGACACTGGAAGTATCTTTCCTTTGGACATCAAGTGATACACCCAATGATGAGGTGTAGGAATAACCACAGTAAATACTTTATCAAGACCAAAAAAGTAAGAGGCACTGTACTAAACTGCTCATCATCTTACCCATTCACACACTGAATAGATATGTACTAGGCATCTACTAGCTATGTAAGTTGAACTTACTTTATTGTACAGGGAGATAGAGAACACAAAAGCAAACTATTTAACTAACATACTTCCAGATACTGACGATGATAAGGAATCAATAAAAATAGGATGAAATAATAGAATGGGGTGAGAGAAGGGCTGTTTAACCCAACCAGTTCAGGAAGTCTCTGAGTAGGTGGCCTTTGAGCTAACATTTAACTCATTGAAGGAGGCAACCACACAAAAGAGGAATTATTATATTACATATAATTCTCATAACATTCCTTCTACATAGTTTTCACCTCCATTTTCTAGACAAGGAAAGTAAAATTTTTTTATTTTATTTTTTTGTTTTTCTTCTGGTACCAGGAATCGAACTCATGACATTGCGCTTGCCAGGCAGGTGCTGTGTTGCTGAGCTAAATCCCCAGCCCCCTTTTTTTTTATTTTAAAGATAAAAGAATGAAAACATATTGAGACACACAGACATTTACAGAATAACACAAAAACAATACAAGCAATATATGTTTTCAGACAAGGTTATAGAAAATTAACAATGGTTGTTGTATTACATACTGATATATTCAAATTGGTAACTCAGATAAACAAATATAGGCATGTAAGATTGATCAAACAATTAAACATTAACTGTTCCTTTCAATAAAGTAATAGAAATCAGTAGTATAACTATCTTAGCTACCCTGTGTATACATATATACATATTTTTTCCTTTTTCTTTCTTTTGTCTTTTCCCTCATGCCAGAAGGAAAGTAAAGTTTAAATTTCCTAATCTGCTAAAGTCACAAGATAGACATTCTGGGACTGAAACCCAGGTCTGCAAAACTGGGCTGAGACTCTGCACTACTCACTTCTCTATCTGCCAGGTGCTGGCCTTGGCTCACTGCATTCTTCTGACTGCAATTCCCTTCTCAGCCTGGGAATTCTTCCTCCCCCTCAACAGTCAACTTCTCTGTGATGCCTAACCCAATAAAAAACATTAACTGTTCCTTTCAATAAAGTTCTTTCAATAGCTACCCTGTGTATACCTATATACATATACAAGTGGAAAAGAGTGTCTCCCTCCTCTGAACACCTACATACTTTTATGATCACTCTTTTCTCTGGAAATACAGCCCCTTCTCCCTTGCTAGGGCAGTGTCTATCCAATATGCCTGATGTATCCCTCCCCTATCCTCCTCCCTTAAGCCTACAGAAATCCTTGCTCTCAACATTTACAGAATGAATGACAAGCAAATAAACAAGTACATGAAGTTCAGCACTCATGGATGGATGCCTGAGGGCCTTCTAAGTCTTGCCAGAGCTCTAGCACTGAAGTGGGATGCAACTGTCAGGGCTGTTTCTGAACAACAGGGCCCAGGAGAGCCAAGAAACTGAAGCAAAACCAGAGAGAGCTGAATGCGCACTAACCTGCTTTCAGTTGACTTTTCATAAGCTGTGTCTGTGTTCCTTCCCCACAGTCAAAGAGCCAGCACTCACCCTCACACCGAAGGACCAGGGCAGATGCACCCCGGGTTGGGGATGGATATGCTGCACCTGTCCCAAGAAATGTCACATCCATAGACATCTTCTACTCTGCAACAGAAAGATCACCTGGGGATTATTTCAAATCACTCTAACAAAAACAAACATGTTCTTATGTGACATACTGTTATTTATGTTTGGTGCCAGGTTTTGAACCTAAGTGCACTTGCTAAACATGTGCTCTACCATTGAACTATACCTCCCAACTCTTAATTATTTTTAGCTATAGCTCTTCTGTTTTTCCAGGGTTGGGAGATGGAAACCAAGGCCTCATTCGTGCCAGGCAAGCCCTGTAGCACTGAGCTACACCCCAGCCCTTACTGTAACTCTTAACTGGTTAAAATTACAAGTCACCAAGTATGATTATATATGATTGTGCATACACACGCACACATGCATGTGTGCATACACACACACAAATTAAAAACTAGTTGAGGGGCCAGAGGTAAAGCACTTGCCTAGGACATATGAAGCCCTGGGTTTAATCCCTAGCCACAAAACAACCACCAAACAAAAACTATTATTTGAATCCCAAGTTTATAACATGCTCGAAAAGGCAAATGTATATACAGATAGTAAAAAGATCAGTGTCCATTGGTAATATGCGGAAAGGAAGGACTACTGGGTGGAACACAGGATTGTAGGGAACAGCAGAACTATTCTCTATGATGCAGTAAGTGTAGGCACATCACCATACTTTGGTCAGCTGTACACAGAATGTACAACACAAAGAATTAAGTCAAATTCAGTTAATAACAGTGTGTCATATTGGCTCACCAACTGTAATAAATGCACCTCACTGGAAGACATTCATATAGGAGAAACTGGGAGTTGTGGGGTAAGAAGTCATACAAAACTCTCTGTATCTTCCACTTATTAATTTAAAATAAATACAAAACAATTTTAGCTGAGGTACTGGGCAAGAGGTAGGATCTAACTATGTTTACTGAATAGTGCATGGTGATCAACCCTTCCTCTGAGCAATCATGCTCTGTGATAGCCCATAATAATGCTACTTCATGGTAGTGCTGAGTAAATGTCTCACTCCTCTAATGACTGGGTAGGGTACTGTGATTTTAAGTGATCAGCAATAACCTGTTGAATGTGCAGATTTCTGCCAACTCCTGCCACTATTCCTTTCATTATTACTGGACATATCTGCCATCTCTAACATAGTTCTATAATGGGGGATGTGTGTCAAGCAGAGTAAGTGAAAATGCACTGAAACGTACACATAACCAGTTCTAGATTACCTACAGTGGTCTACAGTGATGGCAAGGAGGAAAACAGTATTTAGAAAAACTACCACAGAGAGCTGAATATAAGATAAACATACAAAAGAATCAACAGGTAAAAGAGAAGGTCAGAAATAAACTGATACATAAGAAATCAATATATAATAACGTGTGAAAGGATGGCTTATTTATTGAATGGTACTGATATATCTGACTGTTCTTACAGAAAATAAAAGCAAAATAAAACAAGGCCCTTGTTTTACATTGTATATAAAAATTACTGCATATGGATTAGAAATTTATTTATTTATTTATTTATTGAGCCAGGGTCTTGCTATACAATTTAGGTTGGCTCTGAATTTACTATGTACCCCAGGCTGGCCTCAAACTCAAAGTAATTCTCCTGCCTCATCTTCCCAAATGCTGGGATCAGTGTGTGCTACCACACATAATCTTGGATTAGAAATTTAAATATAAAAATCCAATAAAATATGTTTTGAAGAATTAGGAGAGGGTGTGGGGCTATAGCTCAGTGGTACAACCCTTGCCTACCCCTGGATTCAGTTCCCAACACTGCAAGGACATAATATCACGACAGTATGTATGTAACTTTGGAGACAGGAAAGCCCTTACTGTCAAAGCAAAAAGCCCAGAAAATTTAAAAACATAACTTTCATTTGACGTTTCTATCATTTTATTACTTTTATATAACACAAAGTCAAAGAACAATAAGTGGAAAAAAATTTTCACCCCTTTTGACAAGAGGTCAGTGCCCCTTAAAAAAGTTTGTGTAAACTAGGCATCGTGGCCCATGCCTATAATCCCAGTACTTAGGAGGCTGAGGCAGGTGGAATGCCTGAGTTTGAGTCCAGCCTGGGCTACACAGTGTGTTCAAATCTAGCCTAAACTATACAGTGAGACTCTATCTTAAAAAAAAGGAAAAAAATATACAATTTAAAAGTTTATGCAAATGCATCTTTAAAAACCAAAAATACTGATGGAAAAGAAAAACAGGCAAAGGACATATGCCAGAATCACAGAAGAAATTCAAATGGCCAATAAGCATAAAAGTGCTTTCTCCAGGTAGTAGAAATGCAAATTAAAGAGACACCATTTTCTACACATCAGTTGGCAAAAAGCAATGAAGTAATGCTAGCCAATGCTACTAAAGATAAAGGGAGATGAGTAAATGGGTGCTCCAGTAGTTACTGATGGTGGAGGTAAGAATTACTATCATGTGTTAGAGGAGTATTTGACAATAAGTGTTATCAGTAACAATAATGCTGTTGATAACAAACTCAGAAGTCCTATTTTTGGGATTCCATCCTATAGAAATAAAGGATCTAGGTACAATAAAGTTTACTCTGGTGCTTTTAGGTAGCTAAAATACTTTAGTAATCTAAATATATATCCATAGGGAAATGGCTGAATAGTTTATTGTATACTCCTATTATTTTTTCCTATTAACTATCTATTAACCATTCTGCAGTTAATACTCAGGTCTGTAACTACTGTCCTCAAAGGATGACAATGAGACGTTACAGGTGGCTATGGGATGGTCTCATCTTTATAACAATGCTCCAAACCCCTACACTTATCAAACAGGGGATTACTCCCTGATTATTTCTGGGGGGATCAGAATGTTGGGGAGGGGCAGGACAGGAACTATTAGCTTTTAAACCTTCTTTCAGTTGTAATGAATAGTATTTATTTAATTTTATATGTAATACTAATGATTTTTCAAGAATGTATCATAAGGCCAAACATGCTTTGCTAATTACACATGACCTAATCTTCCTATTTTGGGTTAAGTCAGCTCCCTACTTCCCTTGTCTCACACATCCCTCACAAACTAGTACATCATATCCCAATCCTTTTGCGAGTGTCCCTTCAATGTTTTATTCCACATGTGCACCTCAAGGACCAACTCTTCTTCTGACAAGCAGCTTAATTTGCAAAGGGTCCCCCTAGTAGCTACAGCTTGCACAAGTGAGGACAGACACAATGTAGAAAGTCAGAACTTAAAGGCTAATAAAATGCAGAAAAAAACAATAGAACGTAATCACTTTGCAAGCCCTGTTGTTCTGAAGGATATTTTAGAAAGTGATAAAGAAGACCACTTTCCAAGCCCTAACAAACAAACAGAGACTAGTAATATTAAATTCTGGGAGTAGAACAAGATTACCTGGAAAGATTTTAAGACATAGCAGTGATTAGGCTGTTATTCCACAATAATTAAACAGGAAATTCTGTTGGAAATGTACTTTGATATTTTAGTAAGAGGGAAAAGGGGATCCTTCCCCTGTAATTCTAACATGGAATCAGATTTAAGAACCTGGGTATGATGGCACAAGCCTGTAATCTTAGCAAAATGGGAAGATGAAGCAGGAATACTGCAAATTTCAGCCCACATTGGGCAATTTACCTACTTAGCGAGAACTATCTCAAGATAAAAAATAAAAGGGGTGGGGAGATTTAGCTCAGTGCAAATGACCCGGTGTTCAACCCCCAGTACCACACAAAAACAAAACAAAAAGAACCATTCAGTGACAAGCTGATCCTACCTGAATTTAATGAGTTAATCTTTTAAAAAAAAACCTTTAAGAAAAAGTCCCAACACCTACAGAAGTAGCAAGGTCAGTATAATGGTTTGCCACACATGCAGCTTCAGCAAGTTAACAACTCATGGGCAATCCTGACTCCTCTACACCCCTACCCTCTGCCCAACTACCCAAGAAATCTCAATAAATGGTATGAGGTATTTCTATAAGGAGAAATATCAAGAAATATCACACATCAAGTCGGGCCATGGACGCCTGTAATGCCAGCACTCAGGAGGCTGAGGCAGAAGGATCGTTGCGAGTTCGAGACCAGCCTGGGCTACAAAAAGTAAGCTCAAGGCCAGCCTGAACTGCACAGGGAGACCTTGTCTCAGAAAGGAAAAAAAAAAAAAAGGGAGGCACACATCATGTCTCTTTCTGATGTTAGCATCTACTAGTGATTACTGTCAGGATTCCTGATTTCATTAGAGTTTGCCAAAGAGTCACATTTTCTCATTCCTTCTGCAGTTATTAGCTGCCATCTCCTATAATTCCCTGGTCAAATATTTGGTTACCCTGTGATGCAATTTGTACACAAAAGGTCCACAAAGAGAAACAAGATTTTATCTAATTCTTGATGATGTAAATGAAATATACAGTAAGCCTTTAGGAGGTTTTCTTGTCAAAAAATGTAAGCAGAACCTGAAAAAGACTAAATACCAGTTTATTAAAGGAATCTAATGAACAGAACACCAGTTATTGAAAGAATTCAGGATTGGAAAAAACAATATCCAGGCTGTAGGAAACTTTATAGGACAAATGACTTCTTTCAACAAGTAAAAGGAAAAAAAACGGGAGATTAAAGGAGATGTAGGAGGAACCAAACAAAAGTAATGTGTGGGGCTGGGATATGGCTCAGTGGTAGAATTCTTGCCTGGCATGCACAGGGCCCTGGGTTCGATCCCCAGCACTACAAAAAAAAAAAAAAAAAAAGTAGTATGTGTAGTCTGTATGTGTCTTGATTTGGTCAAATGATAAAGGGCACGCAGGGAAGAGATAACTGGGGAAATGTACACACTGACTGGAAAGTAGACAATAATATGAAATGCTAGTTGAACTGATAATGGATTTATGTTTAAAAACGTTAAACATAAACAAGTATTTAGCAGATGGAATAGTACATTTCAGATTTGCTTTAAAATTATACAGTGGAGGTGAGGGTAACAGATGAAACAGTGATTGAGTTGAAGTTCAACACACTATTCTATTTTCATATATGCTTCAAAGTTTGCACAATAAAAAAGTTTAAAAACAAACCCGGGGGGTGGGCTGGGGATTTAGCTCAGTGGCACATCGCCTGCCCGGCTAAGTGCAAGGTCGTGAGTTCGATTCCCAGTGATGGAAAACAAAAACAAAAAAAAAAAAACAAAAACAAACCCAATACAATCCTCCACCAGGAAGTAATCAGAAATTATTTCATCAATGGTGCACGTCTGACATGCACATTATTCTAGATATCAGGAATTAAAAGTGAGCAAACCAGATTAGGTCCCTGCCTTCTTGGACAAAAAGAAACAGCTGCTCGCTTTTTCAAGACTGTGATCCACCCTCCACGAAGTGCACAGTCCGGTCGTGATCCCAATACTGTCACTTGACACCCTGGACCCGTGGTTCCGGGTCCAGAAAACAAATCACCCGGCGACACGCGGCCTCAGCACTCAGAAGGCTTTCCGAGTGATTCTCATTGTTTCCTGACTGAGAACCGGCGCTCCTTAGTTTTCAGGCAGACAGCACCAACCCTCCTCCACTTTAGAGCTGGAAGAACCCGGGCCAGAGGGAGAGAGTGAATGGTTAAGCACAGCCAAGGCCAGAGGCCAGGGCTCCGGCCGCCAGCGAGCCGGGCTCCTAGGCGACCACGGCACTTTGTAAAAGGATCGGCGGGCGGCGGTATCAGCGCCGGGCGGCCGAGGCTCCGGCCCGAGGCGGTGGTCGAGACGCGTCCTCTCTCCCGGGCCTGGCTCCTCCGCGCCCAACTGGGCCGGGCCGGGCCGGGCCGCGCCAAGCCGAGGAATCTCGAGGAAGCGCGCCCGCCCCCCTCCGGCGCGCCCTGCCCCACTCACCCTCTCCCCGAGGCCCGGGTAGGAGCCAAGCGACTAACAGGCCCGCTCCAAGGCCCAGCAGTCCGCGGGGCGGCGATGCGCGCAGGCGGAAGTGCGCCGCCGCCTGCGTCCAGCGCGGCCGCTCTAGGACGCGCGGGAGGTCCGCGCTCGGTGGCGCCCGTCCTGGGCCGGGCTCCAGGCGCTGGCTGACTCCGCGGGGCGGGGGGCGCCGGGAAAATTCCTGCGGATACTGGCCTCCTTCCCAGGTCGCTGTAAAACGTTGTGTTTTTCGGTGTCATGTCTGTCAGTCAGAAATGGTCTTCCTGCTGTTTTCCTCAGGCATGTTTTTAAAATATTTGCTCTGGATGAATCTTTCAGCCTCTGAACCTGAAAGTTTGAACTTGTGGTACCTTAAGACGAAAAGTCAAGGGCCTTTATCCGCCTGACCCTGTATCTTGATGAGCTCCGTCCCGCGTTCCATTCCCTCTTGCCGAGGATACACGGCTCCGTTTACTTGAAATCTGAAGTTCAGGGTGCTGTGCTCGCCCCGAGCATTTCGGACGCGTTCTTTTAGGAATGAGACCGCAAGGTAAAACAGCAAGTAGCGATTACAAAACACAAGAGGGGGGCGGCAACAGAAGTGGGAATTTTTGAATAGTCTTTTTAGATTTGTTGTTTTGTTTTTGCTTGGTTGTTCTGTAATACTGGGGGTTGAATTAGGGGTGCTCTGTCTCTGTGCCGCATCCATCGCCAGTCCTTTCTTTTTTGAGACAGGGCCTTGCTCTGCAGTTCGGGCTGGCCTTGAGCTCACTTTGTAGCCCACTCGCGACAGTCCTGCCCCAGCCTCCAGAGTGCTGGGATTACAGGTGTGCGCCACCAGGCCCAGCTAGGGCAGAAGTTTTGGATACTAGCAGAAAGAAAGGATCAAGGAACCCTATACCCCAACCCTGTATTTCATTCAAAAGCACCAGTTGGTCTACTTTTTGGGCTCTTCAAAGCCTTATGTACTGAAGTATTTATTAATTGAGACCCGCCTTTGTGTATAGTATTTTTGGTGCTGAGAAAAATTTTTAAATGTCATAGAACTTAACACTAAGGCTGGGCAAAGGTGTATCAGGAAACAATCAACTAACAATATAAGGGACAAAGGAAAAAAAAGAGTGGTTAAGAATAGGGAAATATTCGTGGGTAGAGTAGATCAATGGTAGAGAGCTTGCCTCGTATGCAAAGAGGACCTGAATTCAATCCCCAGCACTTCAAAATCAAAAACAAAACGGAAAGAGTTGGGTGCCTGTGGTACATATCTGTAATTCCAGCTACTCAGGAGAGGCAAAAGCAGAAAGATAGCAAAAATATGAAATGGAAAATTCTATTTTATTTTTTGTTGCTTTTTTTTTTGAGACAGGGTCTCACTGTGTAGTTCAGGCTGGCCTTGAACTCACTATGTAGCCAGGCTGACCTTGAACTCAAGGCACTCTTCCTCTCTCAGCCTCCCAAGTGCTGGGATTACAGGCATATGCCACCATGCTTGGAAAAACAGAAAATTCCAGAAGTAAACAATTCATGAGCTTTAAATTGCAACCCATTCAGAGTTGCGTGAAATTTTGTGCTGTCTTGCTCCATCCGCCTTATGATGCAAATCATCTGTTTGTTGAGTGCGTCTGTGCTGGATATGCTCTCTGTAGGTTAGTCACTCCGTTGTGAGGTTACTGTCATAGTATCATGGTGCTTGGGTTCAAGTAACTATTTTACCTAATAATGGCCCCCAAATCACAACAGTAGTGAGGCAAAGGAAGCACAGAACAAAACATGAATAACATGAATGGAAGGACAATTAACTGTGGTACTATGTGGCAATGCTGTGAGGCACACAGGGAAAAGGTGTGTGTGTGTGTTTGTGTGTATTTCAGTTTACAGTTTAAAGCATCCACAGTTTAAAGCATCCACTGGGGATCTTGCAATGTATCCTCCAAGGAATAAGGGAGGACTCTTGTACAAACCAGGAAGAGTACCCTCACCAGAAACCCTCTTCTTTGAGTTTCAGCCTCTAAAATTGTAGGAAAATAATTTGCTTTGTTAAAGCCACTCAGCCAGAGCAGACTAAGTTAGTAGAGTAGTATGAATTGTTTTGTGGCTGCTTATTAATCTGAGTTTTGGTGGCAGAATGCATACATGGCAGAATTTGGTTCATTAAAATCGGGTAGTAAGGTGTGGGGCACAGCTAATCCTCAGGCCACCTCTAACCTCTTCGATGTTATTATTGAGCTGAAAGTACTGCTTGAAGGGTTGTGTCCAAATTGGCTTAGGTTATTATTTCACAGTCTGGTTTGGTACCTCACCAAATAGCTCATAATTTCAGGGTTTGTATTCTACAGACCTACATCCTGAATCACCTGCTGTGCTAGTGCAAGTCTTCCAGGAAGCAGACGGATAAGATTAATCCTGCCAGTAATGCATTAGGGGAAATGCCTGTGACAGTGGGAAAGGAGCCAGCAGTACTATGAGATGTACCACTATACAGATGTGATACAAAGTGAAGGAAAGCAGGAAGGAGGGAATGTTATGTAAGTCATCTTAGATTGAAGGACAAGTCATCTTAGATTGTCATCTTAGACAAGTCATCTTAGATTGAAGGACAGATCCAAGCTGAGAAAGGCCACAGGGGAGGCCTTGAGCTGAAGTTATCTTTCAGGAAGTCCTGGGGTCTCCAGAAATGGGCCTGCTATGTATGATCCCTGCTGCCCTAAGTAGCAGCCAGCAGGAGACATCCCTGTGATGCTGGATTTCAGAGCTCTGCAATTGGGCAGGAAGTTAGTCGTCTCCCAGAAGTCACATTTTCATGTGATGTCTTGAGTATAATTTTTAGGCCACCTTGAGAAAGAAAATTATTTGTGTTGAAAGTTACCTTCCATTCAGTTTAGACACAGAACAGATGGTATTTGAGGTCACATTGTTTAGTATCCAAAAACAGAGCTGTAAGTATTTAGAGGAGGTACTGAGCCACACTCCTTGCTGATGTGTCTGTTTTGTTGCTTTGGCAAATGGAAGACCTGTATTGGTTGGTCTACCTAAGTCAGCCTAGAGGAAAGTTGGGGCCTATATTTCTCCATACCAAGCCTTCCAATAAAGAAGCATGGTGAGCTAATTAAAAAGTATTCTCTAGTTGTTCTTAACCTATCTTTGATGAAGAAAATCCTTCTCAGAAAATCTGATTTATTTTAGACTGGTCTGTTGGAGTTTTTTCCCTTCAAGTTGGGTGGGATCCAATGTGGAGGACCTAAGAATTAAGGTCTATGGAGAAAAATTACTGGGGAACCTAGCATGCTGGGAAGTTTGGGTTGCAGTTCTTTTCCTCGTCCTAGGGATTGAACCCAGGCTCTTCATGCTATAGCCCTAGTCTTTTTTATTTTTTTGAGAAAGAGTCTTGCTCAGCTTAAGTTGCTAAGTTGCTCAGGCTGGACTTGAACTTGTGATCATTATGCCTCAGCTTCCCAAAGTGCTGGGATCACAAGTGTGGGCCAACATGCCTGGTTTGGGCTACAATTTTTAAATATGAGTTAGAAAAAGCCTCACTGATGTGACATTTGAGCAGAAGCCTGCAGAAGGTGCAGAAATAAGCCATGGAGCTCTGGAGTGTTCCAGAAGAGGGCAGCAAGTGGAGAGTTGTGAAACTGTTTGGTGTATACATCAAGTGCTTAAGCTTCTTTCACATCATTCAGAAAATAAACCTTTATGTATATTGAATGAGCAGCTAAGAGAGAAGAAATGATGAAAACAAATGGAACAAAATATAAATAACTGGTTCATCTGGGTAAAGCATTTGGAAGTTCTTTGTATTATTCCTCCAAATGTCTTGTAACTTTGGAATCATATCTACTAAACACAAAATTAAAAAAGAGGAGGAAATGGTCAGTTGTGTCAAATGATGTTTATGGGCTTAGTAACACTTAAATTTAAGATTGTTTAGCAACGTATAGGCCTCAAAGGAGGGTGGATTTGAAGGCCTCACTAAAAATGGGTGCAAGAGAGAATGGAAGGTGAGAAATTGAAGTTAGGTAGCACAGAGTAAATACAGAACATCTTTTGCATGCTGATGCTAATAAACTGGTAGAGGAATTGGTGGTGGTGAGAAGGGAGAATTGAGGGGGTAAAGCCCTAGAGTTGAGGGAGTAAGTAGGGCCTAGTGGCCAAGGTGTTAAGTTGGCTCTTGTTGCTGCAGGCATTATCAGTTAAGTATGTGGGTGCAAACGCAGGTGGTTGATTCCCTCGAAAGAGCCTCAGGAGCACACCTGTTGCTGACCAAGTTATCACTGCAAAGAGGAAGGACACACAGTACACAGAATTGGGGTATCTCAGTAAGCAGGGGGTTAGAAAGTACCTGTGGCAGGATTTGTGTTTGGTTGGGTGGTTTTGCAGAGGGTCTGTGGAAGCTGAAGTTCACTCTGGATTGTGTGTGTTGGGAAGCAGAGACACCTTTGTGGCTGGTAGCCTCAATAAATCTTCTATAGGGAGTACAGATGCACGAGTCAGGAACTAGTCAGCAGTTAATCCTAGGGGCCAGGATTTGGAAGAATGGGGCATTTGGTCATTTTTGCGGTTTACACAGTGCTCACATTTTATCTACTTACAGAGCTGATTACAGAGAGGCATTTTTATCTTGGTCCATCTTGGTCAGAGTGGCCTTATCTGATGTTGATGTTCTGTGAAGTTGTTTATATTCAACAGAATACCAAGGCTAAGGTGGGTTCTAAGCTGGGTTCTAAGCTGGCCTCTAAGCTGGCCTTTACTTATAGCAGGTCTGGCTCTTGGTGTCAGTTGTTGCTTTTCACTTTCTGAAGACACCTGAATGGATGGGGGCAGGAGCCTGGGGATGTTCTCTTCTGTTTTATTTCTCTGTGAAGTTGGAAGCAAGACACCTGATGAGTGTGAGGATGCAGAACCCAGATTTGACAGTGGGAAAGGTATCAGATCCAGAAGACAGGGAAATGCCAGGCAGCAGGAAATGACTAGAACCAATTACCTAATGAGACACACCATGACTGTAGTTTTCTGCAGCCTTGCTCTGCTGCATGAACTGTAGGTCAGATTTGTGGACAGTCTGGTTTAAACAGGATTGAGGTA